GCCCTTTTCCTCTTCCTCCTCTTCCCCCAGGCCAAGCCACGACCACAAAATGGTGGCCGGGCTGAGGGAGGTCCTATAAGACAACCCCCAACTTTTGAGAAGATTTTCTGGGGTTTAAAAGTCGTCTTATATGCCGGAAAATACGGTAGTCTCAAAGATGCTACTAGATCCCTTCCTCCCACCATTCCAATTTTCATTTCTATGTCATGACAAACTAACATGACTTTGTTTTTAGAAGTTATTCTGACATTGCAGTCCTGTGTATACCATCCTACAAGTAAGCACCATTGAATTTAGATTGAGGAAACCCTGTTCTGTAATAATGCAAATAAAGATTTCTGCAGTACTGTACATAATAAAAATAAACTTTGGAAACAGAGAAAATACTGATCCTATTTCTAGAAGGGGAACTTTCCCCCCACAAAACTAAACCTAAATTAATAAAAGATATTAGCATAGCAAAAACTATGGTAGACAAAAAAGGTCTATTTTCCCTCCCACTCTTACCAAGTCACTCCTGAAGAAATGGTTAAATGAAAATGTTGATATGTCAGAAAATTTTCTTATTTTGTGTCCTCAGCTAATGCTATGAATTGCAAACAAAAAATTAGAAGTCCATTCTTGGAGATGCAGTTTAGGACAGTGCTGCCCTTTTTAATTGTATTTGGTTCAGTAAGTTCAAACAGTATTCTAAAACATAGAGTGTACAACCCTTGTAGATCATCTTTTTTACTGTATCATGCAATTCATGGGCAAGGTTATATTGACCTCTAGTGGCCACTCTGTGGAAGCGCATCATTCTTCAGTTTTGCAACCTTTACTCCAGTGATTCCCAAACTTTGGCCTTCCAGATGTTTTGGACTTCAGCTCTCAGAATCTCAGACCATTGGTCAAGAAGACTGAGGCGTCTGGAAGCTGAAGTACAAAACACCTGGAGGACCAGAATTTGGGAATTATGCTCTAGGATATACAGTGGACCTAAATAGCCTAAAGGCACCTGATCCTGTCTGATCGTGGAAACTAAGCAGGGTTAGCACAGGCTAGTACTTGGATTGGAGACTGCTAACACATACCAAATGCTGTAGGCCATATTTCTGAGGAAGAAACTGGCAAAACCACCTCTTGAGTATTTCTTGCCTAAGAAAACCCTATGAAATTAACGGGGTTGCTATATGTTGACAGGATACTTGAAGGCACACACGTGCACACACAGCACCTGCAAAGCAGCTTCATTTATATACCGCTTATATCGCACTATGGGATGTCTAACCAGCTTACAACTGTAAGCTCATTGCTCCCCAACAGTTGGGTATTCATTTTAGCGACCTCGGAAGGATGCAGGCCTGAGTCTAGCCTGAGCCCTGACTAGTATTGAACTCGCAACCTTGTGGTCTATGAGTGAGTGTCTGCAGTACAGGCATTTAACCACTGCGCCACCTGTGCAGTGTTCACTGCTGTGCTACCTACAGAGATAAAAAGGGAAACCAATTCCCCCTCCCATTGTGATTATTTAATGATCTTTGTATTAAAATGCCAATATTTTTTTCATTTCCTTTCAACAAAAGCATGTGTTCTTTGAAAAGATTTGTTATTACTGTTTTATGAAAGCATTAACTTTGTTTAATTACACAGAGCTTTATTTACAAGAAACCTTTAAGCCTTTAGTGAATATATCACCAGATGCAAGGTATGTTGTGTTTTATTCCCCACCCCCATTTATTTTAGTATAAGTTGTATTAATATATCTTGTCAGAAAACTGAAAAGACTATTTAAGAGAGATGACACGCTTGTTCAAACCATTTTGTTCTTAGTACCTGGTGAGAAACTTCATGATTAGATTCCTGAAAACTTCTGCTTTACTTTCTTGAACACATAAAAATACTGAGGCTATGACTGGTGTTTATTTTCTGTTGCCTTTTCCTGCCTCCATTCTATGCTTTTTGCTCTGTATATTGATGACTTGTTAGCATAATTAATATAGAAGAGAGGTAAGATTTATTGAACTGTAACTCCTAGCATTTCTCATATTTAGCTGTGCTGGCTAGGGTTGCTGAGAGGTGTAGTTCAACAACATATAGAGAGCTGTATGAGTCCTATCTTGTTACAATAAAGCTGTTTTTGCCTTAATTAATAATATTTTATGTGTAACCCCCTTAAGCAGCATATACCACAAAAACTTTGTTTTGGGATTATTATTTTCTCCAGTATTTTCCTGCTCTTGTTTTAATTAATGGGATCTCACATTGATATTGAACAATAGTGTTGTTTCTCTAATAACTATGAAATCAAAATATGTATCTTCCAGTTCAGTTTTTAAACTTTCATCCAGTATTATGGCCTGAATCCTGTTAGTAGTTCCAATGCATGTAGACCTTTTGAATCAAGTATTGGAGAGTCAACATTTATTAAATCTTATTTATTCAGTTGGTCTCCTCTGGTTGGGACTACCAGTAGGATTCAGGCTACATGTTAAAAATTATTTAAATGGTCCTGTATAACTTTGAGATGGAATTGTAAGTGTCTTTAGTGAATATCATA